TGAAAAGTTTGACCGGTTTCAAACTTTGCGCAACAACATGCAACAGGGAGTGCAAACGGACGCAACATGTAACATCCAACAATGTTGGGAGTTGTTGGCCAACAATGTTGCGTCCGTTTGCACGGGGCTTAAGCGTTGATCGTATTGCCATTCGATCGATAGATAAAACATTTTCTTGCCTATGGAGCTCAGCAAGCCGTTACGTTTTCACTTTCAATCATATTTTGACTAGTTCGTGTTTGCTAAACATTTAAAATATTCCAGCCATTTTATTTCGCCGCTGGCAGTAACAACACCTAGCATATTTTCCAGCGTGCACTGCACACTGTAAATAAGAGGGATCTGTTTTAGCCCTAGCAAACATGGGCCCGTTTCGGTCAGTCCTATTTTTGAGTAATTTGGCCTCCTTAATCAGGGCCAATACAGTCCAATTATACAATATCCTACAATATGCACAATAGGACAACAAAGACTATTCAAAGAAGAATTGACAACTGGTTTTTGTTGTTGATGTTGTTGCTGTTGTTTAGTTTGTTTTCTATTTTTCTGATCTCACCTTGCGTTATTTCAAGAAAAAATTAAAATCTTAGCCTTTGTTCAAAAAAGAGCTACCTAAAATTGCTCGCTGTTTTATTTGCATGCTGGCGTGAACAAAAAATTTATTGCTCCACAGTTTGAGCATTTCTATTCACAATACATGTGAAACTGGGGTTCAAAATAGCTTGAAACGAACTGGTCATTTTAATCGTACCCCTCTTTTGTTGTTTCAGGTGATTATAGTAGCAACCTTAGCCGTAATAATGGTCTTACTTAAGGGCCGTGTTCTAAGTCCTTGCCAGCCCAGGGCTAAAGGCTCGAACCGTTAGTAATTGTAATCTTTTCACAGGATAAACTGACTTTGTCACATGAACTCAGTTGATAAACTAATAATTTCAGTTTCACTTAAATACCCACCGATTCAGCAACACAACGTACCACCACAGTTTCTGTTCGAAATTACGGCTTCATTCAACGGTCTCTTGAGTATTCAAAATCTAACACGACAAATGACGAAAATCCTCAAGAGTTAAGCTATCACCTTAGTAACCGAAGTGCATTTGTTCCTTACATTAATAAAGGTTCCAACCGGCAATTTTGTGAGTGGCTTACTCGGTTCGTTTTATGGACTATTTTGGGTCTTGAGCAGTAGACTACACTCCCAGAAAAGACCCCGTCAGAAAAAAATACTCCTTCGCGTCGAGGGGCTCGCAATACAACTCACGTTCGTGCCTTTCGCAGTTCTAGTAGTATTAATTATTATATAACAATTATTCCCTCAAGACGTTATACGACCTCGTTCGATGCTTATGTATAATAGCAGTGGGTTTTTTCACTTATCAGTTAAAAAATTTATCGTATTTCATGTGATAGCTGATAACTGGGAAGTAGAAACTAACCGATATTTGTCTTAATTTTACGTAATCCTTTTCCAAAGTCTTTTGTGAGAAAGTCTTGATATTTTCCCGTATTTTACTTTTTCACCTGAAGGCCATTATTATCATTAGATAACTGTTCGGTCGTCGCTGCAGGGTTTTATTTAATTGAAATGATGCAAAATTTCCATTTAAATTTTAAAAGATATTTCGGACCATGCAAAACAATGAATTGAGTATTAAGTTTCCCTCTGTTTTGCCATTATTTAATCTTGACGGACAAATTTTCAAATGCTTTCGATTGTCATACATCCTGACTGATCTCTTGGATGTTCTGGATGGGCTCTTTTCCTATTAACTAAGAAAATACAATTTGTTTCGCTCAAGCCAGAAATAAGTGCTATTTTTTAAAGGAAAAGACATTGAATTTTGACTGACATGTTTGGCGTTTTAATGGTTCTATTTACATTTTACATTGGTCAAACAAAATAAATGTGGACTCCCCTAGCACCCTATAAACCCTCCAGATGGGGTCGCGTTAACCGAACATATTGCTGTTCACCAGACTTTCACCTTTAAAAATGAATTGCAATTAGGGGTGATTTCGTGAAATGTGCCTTTCAGGCCCTCCGGCGTTGGTTTAAAAAGGCCGTATTCAAGGATAAGCGGAAATTGTAGAATGTCGTTTATTTTCTAGTGTTCAATGTTAGTCAGTAGAATATGAACAGAGAACGTNCGTAATCCTTTTCCAAAGTCTTTTGTGAGAAAGTCTTGATATTTTCCCGTATTTTACTTTTTCACCTGAAGGCCATTATTATCATTAGATAACTGTTCGGTCGTCGCTGCAGGGTTTTATTTAATTGAAATAATGCAAAATTTCCATTTAAATTTTAAAAGATATTTCGGACCATGCAAAACAATGAATTGAGTATTAAGTTTCCCTCTTTTTTGCCATTATTTAATCTTGACGGACAAATTTTCAAATGCTTTCGATTGTCATACATCCTGACTGATCTCTTGGATGTTCTGGATGGGCTCTTTTCCTGTTAACTAAGAAAATACAATTTCTTTCGCTCAAGCCAGAAATAAGTGCTATTTTTTAACGGACAAGGCATTGAATTTTGACTGACATGTTTGGCGTTTAATGGTTCTATTTACATTTTACATTGGTCAAAACAAAATAAATGTGGACTCCCCTAGCACCCTATTAACCCTCCAGATGGGGTCGCGTTAACCGAACATATTGCTGTTCACCAGACTTTCACCTTTAAAAATGAATTGCAATTAGGGGTGATTTCGTGAAATGTGACTTTCAGGCCCTCCGGCGTTGGTTTAAAAAGGCCGTATTCAAGGATGAGCGGAAATTGTAGAATGTCGTTTATTTTCTAGTGTTCAATGTTAGTCAGTAGAATCTGAACAGAGAACGTTTTCTTACTAATGCATCGAGAAGTATAGAACATCACGGGGTAATTATAGAGCTCTCTTGTTGTTTTTTCTTTTAATACAAAAACGTATCATTAATTTATATTTACTTTTAATTTAGATGTTCGGCTACGTTAAATTTGTTACGTTTGGAGGTTGTTGTTACAAGAAGATAAACTATTTACTTTTCAACAAAGGTAAATCAGAACAACTTTGCCAGTATACGGATGTATAATCAATCCTGTTTTCAGTGATAGCACATTAATATGTACTGAAACCAAATGATGCTTTTTACTTCACCTTTCCATTAAGTGCCTTCGATTAAAGGAAATCTCCTTTATTTACCTTCGGCAATGTTTAAAACACAAAGGTTAATGGGGCAGGGAAAATCAATGGATATAATAAGTCAAATGTAATTTTAAAAAAAATCCGAACTGGCGAAAGGCAAATCAGTTAGCTATTTTACAAACGACAGCTCAGGAACCGAACAGTCGAGACCTGCGCGAGCCGCGCGCGAGTCCAGGGCTCTAATCACTCGACCACGCTTTCTCCACGTTGCTTTTTCCGCTGTGATACCTTTAAACAGAAGCCCATCATAGGCTCCTGTTTTAAATGGATTTGGCTGTCATTTTGCTAGAACTTGGAGCAAACCAATGTTAAGCACGTTGCTTAAGTGAAGGTGTTGTTAAAGTAAGTCGACTTTACTGGTACGAGTAAGCAATATAAAGGGTGGTGAAAGCAGTCTAATATGTTAGAAGTAACAATGCCTCAATGGTTAAGTTAAGTAAAAATATGACTTCTAAGTTTCCTGATACAATTCAAAATATATCCGAACAGCGAAACTAGTAGTTTGAAAAATCCTATTCTAATTTCCTTGGTAGAACCAATTCAAAATTCAATGCCTTCTTTTCCTCCGAAAAATAGGGAGAAAAAGATTTGTCAAAGAAGTTGCCATTGTTTTGTTTGTGTGTTCAAAGCCGCCGCAGGCTCGCTACTCACTATTTATCGCGTAAAAGTACGTTAGCCGATCAGATTGTAGAATTCGTGTGCTTTGCTGAATAGGTTGATTGAGGTAGTCTGAATGAGAATCTGAATGAGTGCATTTGTGACAGTAAAAAGTAAAAAATGATTCGATATAATCTGCAAAGAAATTACCCTTTTGAATACATCTGACCATGAAATGCTCTCACGTTGAATGCCTCTTATAACTTAATCTCACTCCTCGCATTTTTGCAATTTTTCTTCAGATGTAAGATTCCACTTCATCCCTGTCAGAGCTGTAAATCTATAACTTGAACCAAATGAAGATACCTGTCTCTTTGTTAGCGTTCATCTGTGTAGCAGGTATAGTCGCAGTTCGTAGTCAAACAAGAACCAATAGTTTGTCTTTAACAATTCAGAGTAAAACGGTTGGTTTCTTTAGACACTAGTGGCCTTACGGAACGGGACGGCAGAGGAAAGAAGACGGCAAACCTTGTGTGGCAAGCGTGATAATAATTTGGTTTGAAAAACTTTTACACCAAACTTCAGCGTAGATAACACGAAACTGCATGACTTGGGGAATATTACCCTTTTTCTAAAATTTCAAATACTATTTGTACTCTAACTGAGTATCCCATTTGACAAGCTGGTTTCCGATCTATAGCACTTGCTTGTTACGAAACAAAGTCTCTGCAGTGACCTTAAGAAGACAATAGATTTCCTTAATCTGAAATCCATATCCAGTATTCAGCTACAAATGTTTGCAACGCAAAATTTTTCTGTCAGATAACTAACCATATTTGGTCCCGTGAAACGGAATCCAATACAGTCTTGGATTCTGGATTCCACGCCGTAGTTTTCAAATCCAGGCATTATTGGATTCCTGGCCATTCTTTGGTGGGAACTTGGAATTCCAGATTACAATCGTTAGCGGGATTCCGGATTCCTACAGCTGTACTCCGGATTCCAAAGCGCAGGATTCCGGTTTCCTTGAGCTGTTTTCCGGATTCCAAAGCCCAGGATTCCGGATTCCACAAGCAAAAATTTCCAGATACCTTAATCTGGATTCCCTTTTCAAGGTGCAACAAGCTATACTTAAGAGTCAACTATAAGCTGTAAAGTAAGCATGTAGTAACTGCTGCGCCTTCTATCTTTCTCTGTTTAGATGCTGCATATTACACCAATGAGACGCGACTCTATAAAGACGTGTTTGAAAACTACAACAAGTACAACCGACCAGTTTTAAAGGAATCTCAGGCTGTGCTTGTTGAATTTGATTACCAGCTTATTCGCATAATTGATGTGGTGAGGCGCATCAGTTTATGGAGTTCTTGTGTTTTAATTAATTCAATTGGTGGAAAGTGATTTCCTAATGTGGCATTTAGCGGCATCCTCATTACGACTGTTCACTCTGCTCTAGAGCCCTGTTTTAGAGGGTTCTTTCCTTTTTAAGGAAAGGCCCCGCAAAAAAGCTAACTGTAGTTTTTCTTCTTAAGATGCAAACTGGCCCATTTTATGATCAAGTTTCTTTGTTACTTTTTCGTTAGCTGTGTGTTGCTTTTTTTGTATGTGTTCCTTCTTCGTCTTAAGAGAGAACTCGATTTTTGACATGCTTGCTCACAGAAACCCATACTTAAAAAAGGCTTTTGGCAACTCGTCTCTTTCAATTCCATCTGATAATTTATTCCATAGCAGTGAGCTAAGGAATGACTATCAGAATAATAGACACATAGAGCCAGTTATTTAAACGAAGTTTAGCTAGTGTTTAACAAAACGCCGTTCTAAGCCATTTTCAGTTTACCCGACGCTTTTATCTAAACACCATTTATCGTGAAAAGTTTCATGAAGCATAAGGCTTAGACTGGATAAGCACTTACTATCGTAAAATATCCCACTATGTAAAAGATCCGGAGGTCCAAAGATTTGCTAAACCGCAGCCTAAGTTAAACTTCGTTTAAATAGCTGACCCATAATGTCTTAATCAATCTTTTTAGAGTGCAAAAGATCAGTTTATCAAGACTTACGCCTGGATCAATCAGGTATGCGTGGTAGCAACAGGGTGTGTACTATACATGGGTTTCTGAAGATAGAATTCAGTAAAAGTAACAAATTTCGTTTTGCAAAGGAAAGTGCTTTTCAAAGGTGCTATTAGTAGCTTTTATTCGCAATGATACCAGACGTCATGATAAGAATTACATTTTTCCAACTTAGCTTTAAAAGTTTCTTACATATTTGAATTGGGTATTGACAGACAACGGGCTATTCAGGCTCTTTAATAGGTTTTACTTTTTTAAGAGACAAATAGCCTCTAAACTAATTGAATATAGGTGTGGTCCCTTTTGAAAAGAAATTAGAAAAATTTAAAACCTATGCATTTGCTAAAAACTGAAACTCAACAACTGACAAAATAAACTGGTGGATTTCATTAGTTCCAGCGTTACCTGTAAACGAGACACTCGTTTTAGTAGGAAAATGTCACTCACATGAGTGATTTTTAATAACCTTAAATAACACTTAACAAAAAATAACCTGTGCAAGATTTTATGTTCAACTGCAGGTTCTTATAAAATGCCGGGTGTCTGAGTGTCAAATGTTAGACAAACGGCTTCTTCAATTAATCATCAAGCTTTTAAGCGTTTTTTATTATTTTACTTATTTATTTATTTATTTATTTATTCATTTAATCATTTATTTATTTTATGTTGTTGTATACGGTTTATGCAGAAACAGAAAATTCACAGCCTCCTGTTTACCAAAGAAAAGTACAACTTAGAATTTTTCACTGAAGTATACACTCTAGGAATTCGAATTACGTTCGTTTTTCCAAACTTCTCTGACAGTATTGGAGGAATCCTCAACTCACGTGGGATCCAAATAAGTACGGTGGAATCAAGGAAATTCACGTGTCACCCTCTGATATCTGGGTTCCCGACATTCTTCTCTACAACAAGTAAGTCATAAACCGAATAAGTGTAGATACTGAAACTTAATTCACAAAAGGAAATTGTTTCTTTGTTCATTAAACGTTTTTCTTGACAATCGTTAGTGTTCGAGGGTATAAAATGAAAGGGCTTGGATGATTTGTCAGTTTTATTTAGGAAAAATAAATTACTTTCATCTAAAAAACTAAAAATATGATAAAGTTTACGCTAGACCCAGGCTTGCTCCATCCTCATACATCTACACACACTGGAACACAATTACAAACCACCCGGCAAGGGAGTCTAGAAAAGTTTCTCGTTATAAAAAATTTGATCGTATCATTGGTTACTACACTGGGTTTTCTAATAGGTCTTCCCTTGTGTGGTTCAAATAAAGGATCTTTTTAGAGCTAATGATTTTTTTCGTATCGAATTTGAATTTTGTAATTATCGATACTGTAATCCTCATTATTATCAACATCATCATCATCATCATTATCATCATCGTTATTATTATTATTATCATTATCATTATTATTATCCTACCTTTATCAGTGATGTTATGGTTTTTCTGTCCTCCTGCCTTGCAACCTGAAGTTGATAGTGATGTGAGAACTGAAAAAAAAGATGGAGTAAATGAGCGTTTGCAACAATGAGACTAAATTCAGTGACCGTTTAAGCATGTTTACAGCATTATGTTTATATCTTTCTTTACCTTTACTATTCAAAGTGTTGACGACGAGGACCATTTTGGCGGTGGGCGTTACACGTACAAAACCAACGTTGCTATGAAATACGATGGCAACACTACGTGGCTTAATCCAGGAATCTTCAAAAGCATCTGCAAGGTGGATATAAGCAATATAAAGGGTGGTGAAAGCAGTCTAATATGTTAGAAGTAACAATGCCTCAATGGTTAAGTTAAGTAAAAATATGACTTCTAAGTTTCCTGATACAATTCAAAATATATCCGAACAGCGAAACTAATAGTTTGAAAAATCCTATTCTAATTTCCTTGGTAGAACCAATTCAAAATTCAATGCCTTCTTTTCCTCCGAAAAATAGGGAAAAAAAGATTTGTCAAAGAAGTTGCCATTGTTTTGTTTGTGTTCAAAGCCGCCGCAGGCTCGCTACTCACAATTTATCGCGTAAAAGTTCGTTAGCCGGTCAGATTGTAGAATTCGTGTGCTTATGCTGAATAGGTTGATTTAGGTAGTCTGAATGAAAATCTGAATTAGTGTATTTGTGACAGTAAAAAGTAAAAAATGATTCGATATAATCTGCAAAGAAATTACCCTTTTGAATACATGTGACCATGAAATACTCTCACGTTGAATGCCTCTTATAACTTAATCTCACTCCGCGCATTTTTGCAATTTTTCTTCAGATGTAAGATTCCACTTCATCCCTGTCAGAGCTGTAAATCTATAACTTGAACCAAATGAAGATACCTGTCTCTTTGTTGGCGTTCATCTGTGTAGCAGGTATAGTCGCAGTTCGTAGTCAAACAAGAACCAATCGTTTGTCATTAACAATTCAGAGTAAAACGGTTGGTTTCTTTAGACACTAGTGGCTTTACGAAACAGGACGGCAGAGGAAAGAAGACGGCAAACCTTGTGTGGCAAGCGTGAGAATAATTTGGTTTGAAAAACTTTTACACCAAACTTCAGCGTAGATAACACGAAACTGCATGACTTGGGGAATACTACTCTTTTTCTAAAATTTTAAATACTATTTGTACTCTAACTGAGTATCCCATTTGACAATCTGGTTTTCGATCTATAGCATTTGCTTGTTAAGAAACAAAGTCTCTGCAGTGACCTTAAGAAGACAATAGATTTCCTTAATCTGAAATCCATATTCAGTATTCAGCTACAAATGTTTTCAACGCAAAATTTTTCTGTCAGATAACTAACCATGTTTGGTCCCATGAAACGGAATCCAATACAGTCTTGGATTCTGGATTCCACGCCGTAGTTTTCAAATTCAGGCATTATTGGATTCCTGGCCGTTCTTTGGCAGGAACTTGGAATTCCAGATTACATCGTTAGCGGGATTCCGGATTCCTTGAGCTGTTTTCCGGATTCCAAAGCCCAGGATTCCGCATTCCACAAGTAAAAATTTCCAGATACCTTAATCTGGATTCTCTTTACAAGGTGCAACAAGCTATACTTAAGAGTCAACTATAAGCTGTAAAGTAAGCATGTAGTAACTACTGCGCCTTCTATCTTTCTCTGTTTAGATGCTGCATATTACACCAATGAGACGCGACTCTATAAAGACGTGTTTGAAAACTACAACAAGTACAACCGACCAGTTTTAAAGGAATCTCAGGCTGTGCTTGTTGAATTTGATTATCAGCTTATTCGCATAATTGATGTGGTGAAGCGCATCAGTTTACGGAGGTCTTGTGTTTTAATTAATTCAATTGGTGGAAAGTGATTTCCTAATGTGGCATTTAGCGGCATCCTCATTACGACTGTTCACTCTGCTCTGGAGCCCTGTTTTAGAGAGTTCTTTCCTTTTAAGGAAAGGCCCCGCAAAAAAGCTAACTGTAGTTTTTCTTCTTAAGGTGCAAAGTGATCCATTTTATGATCAAGTTTCTTTGTTACTTTTTCGTTAGCTGTGTGTTGATTTTTTTTTNGCCGTTCTTTGGCAGGAACTTGGAATTCCAGATTACATCGTTAGCGGGATTCCGGATTCCTTGAGCTGTTTTCCGGATTCCAAAGCCCAGGATTCCGCATTCCACAAGTAAAAATTTCCAGATACCTTAATCTGGATTCTCTTTACAAGGTGCAACAAGCTATACTTAAGAGTCAACTATAAGCTGTAAAGTAAGCATGTAGTAACTACTGCGCCTTCTATCTTTCTCTGTTTAGATGCTGCATATTACACCAATGAGACGCGACTCTATAAAGACGTGTTTGAAAACTACAACAAGTACAACCGACCAGTTTTAAAGGAATCTCAGGCTGTGCTTGTTGAATTTGATTATCAGCTTATTCGCATAATTGATGTGGTGAAGCGCATCAGTTTACGGAGGTCTTGTGTTTTAATTAATTCAATTGGTGGAAAGTGATTTCCTAATGTGGCATTTAGCGGCATCCTCATTACGACTGTTCACTCTGCTCTGGAGCCCTGTTTTAGAGAGTTCTTTCCTTTTAAGGAAAGGCCCCGCAAAAAAGCTAACTGTAGTTTTTCTTCTTAAGGTGCAAAGTGATCCATTTTATGATCAAGTTTCTTTGTTACTTTTTCGTTAGCTGTGTGTTGATTTTTTTTTGTCTGTGTTCCTTCTTCGTCTTAAGAGAGAACTCGATTTTTGACATGCTTGTTCACAGAAACCCATACTTAAAAAGGGCTTTTGGCAACTCGTCTCTTTCAATTCCATTTTTTCAATTCCAGGGCCAGTTATTTAAACGAAGTTTAGCTCGTGTTTAACAAAACCCCGTTCTAAGCCATTTACAGTTTATCTTATCTTTTATCTAAACACCATTTATCGTGAAAAGTTTCATGAAAGCATAAGACTATTATATCCCACTATGGAAGAGATCTGGAGGTCCAAAGATTTGCTAAGCCGCGGCCTAAGTTAGACTTCGTTTAAATAGCTGACCCATCATGTCTTAATCAATCTTTTTAGAGTGCAAAAGATCAGTTTATCAAGACTTACGCCTGGATCAATCAGGTATGCGTGGTAGCAACGGGGTGTGTACTATACATGGGTTTCTGAAGTTAGAATTCAGTAAAAGTAACAAATTTCGTTTTGCAAAGTAAAGTGCTTTTCAAAGGTTCTGTCAGTAGCTTTTATTCGCAATGATACCCGTATAAGAATTACATTTTTCCAACCTAGCTTTAAAAGGTTCTTACATATTTGAATTGGGTATTGACAGACAGCGGGTTATTCATGCTCTTTAATAGTTTTTACTTTTTAAGAGACAGATAGCCTCTAATCTAATTTAATATAAGAGGTGTGATCCCTTTAAAAAGAAGATTGAAAAATTTAAAACTTAGGCATTTGCTGAAAAAACTCAACAACTGACAAAAAAATCTGGTGGATTTCATTAGTTCCAGAGCTACCTATAAACGAGACACTCGGGAAAATGGCACTCACACGGGTGATTTTTTAAGAACCGTAAATAACACTTAACAAATAATAACCTGCGCAAGATCATAGTTTTAGATTCAACTGCAGGTTCTTATAAAATGCTGGGTGTCTGAGTGTCAAATGTTAGACAAACGGGTTCTTCAATTAATCATCAGGCTTTTTGAGCGTTTTTTATTATTTCATTTATTTATTTATTTATTTAATCATTTATTTATTTTATGATGTTGTATACGGTTTATGCAGAAACACAAAATTCACAGCCTCCTGTTTACCACAGAAAAGTACAACTTAGAATGTTTCACTGAAGTATACTCTCTAGGAATTCGAATTATGTTCATTTTTCAAACTTCTCTCACAGTATTGGAGGAATCCTCAACTCACATGGGATCCAAATAAGTACGGTGGAATCAAGGAAATTCACGTGTCACCCTCTGATATCTGGGTTCCCGACATTCTTCTCTACAACAAGTAAGTCATAAACCGAATAAGTGTACATACTGAAACTTAATTCACAAAAGGAAATTGTCTCTTTGTTCATTAAACGTTTTTCTTGACAATCGTTAGGGTTCGAGGGTATAAAATGAAAGAGTTTGGATGAATTGTCAGTTTTATTTAAGAAAAATAAATTAGTTTCATCTAAAAAACTAAAAATATGACAAAGTTTACGCTTGACCCAGGCTTGCTCCATCCACATACATCTACACACACTGGAACACAATTACAAACCACCAAGGGAAAAGTTTCTCGTTATAAAAAATTTGATCGTATAATTTGTTACTACACTGGGTTTTCTAATATGTCTTCTCTTGTGTGGTTCAAATAAAGGATCTTTTTAGAGCTAATGATTTTTTTCGTATCGAATTTGAATTTTGTAATTATCAATACTGTAATCCTCATTATTATCAACATCATCATCATCATTGTTATTATTATTATTATCATTATCATTATTATTATCCTACCTTTATCAGTGATGTTATGGTTTTTCTTTCCGCCTGCCTTGCAACCTGAAGTTGATAGTGATGTGTGAACTGAAAAAAAAGCAGGAGTAAATGAGCGTTTGCAATAATGAGACTAAATTCAGTGACCGTTTAAGCATGTTTAAAGCATTATGTTTATATCTTTCTTTACCTTTACTGTTCAAAGTGTTGACGACGAGGACCATTTTGGCGGTGGGCGTTACACGTACAAAACCAACGTTGCTATGAAATACGATGGCAACACTACGTGGCTTAATCCAGGAATCTTCAAAAGCATCTGCAAGGTGGATGTGACGTATTTTCCATTTGATAATCAGAAGTGCTTTATGAAGTTTGGCTCTTGGTCTTTCGACAGCTCCAAAGTGAATCTCCGGGCACCTAGCGGAGGAATGTTCAACAAAAATTATGTGAAAAATGGAGAATGGAAGGTTACGCTTTTAGAATCACAGCGAAACCAGCTCAAATACCAGTGCTGTCCGCACGCTTTTGTAGATGTCACCGTACACATAGAACTTCAGCGTGAGTCACTGGACTTTATCCTTAAATTGATCATTCCATGCTCGCTGATCTCGTCCATGATATTCCTTGGTTTTGTGCTGCCTCCTGAGTCCGGTGAACGAATAGGATTGAGTATCACAGTGCTTTTAGCAATGACAGTCTTTCAGCAACTCAGCTCAGAGCTGATGCCCTCGTATGGCTTTCCTCTGCTTGGACAGTANTTCAAAGTGTTGACGACGAGGACCATTTTGGCGGTGGGCGTTACACGTACAAAACCAACGTTGCTATGAAATACGATGGCAACACTACGTGGCTTAATCCAGGAATCTTCAAAAGCATCTGCAAGGTGGATGTGACGTATTTTCCATTTGATAATCAGAAGTGCTTTATGAAGTTTGGCTCTTGGTCTTTCGACAGCTCCAAAGTGAATCTCCGGGCACCTAGCGGAGGAATGTTCAACAAAAATTATGTGAAAAATGGAGAATGGAAGGTTACGCTTTTAGAATCACAGCGAAACCAGCTCAAATACCAGTGCTGTCCGCACGCTTTTGTAGATGTCACCGTACACATAGAACTTCAGCGTGAGTCACTGGACTTTATCCTTAAATTGATCATTCCATGCTCGCTGATCTCGTCCATGATATTCCTTGGTTTTGTGCTGCCTCCTGAGTCCGGTGAACGAATAGGATTGAGTATCACAGTGCTTTTAGCAATGACAGTCTTTCAGCAACTCAGCTCAGAGCTGATGCCCTCGTATGGCTTTCCTCTGCTTGGACAGTATTATTTTGCCTGTATGGTGGAAATAGGTGCCTCCCTATTCGTCACAACGCTCATATTAAACTTCTATCATAGAAATAGTCGACGCATGCCCAAGTTTCTGAGGATTCTTATCCTTCGCTGGTTGGCGCGAGTTGTATTTCCCGAGAAAAGCTCCACTAAAGATTGGAATGCCATAGAGACAAAAAAAGAAGCATCGAACGCGTCGTACAAGGAAGGTTCATTCCAAAGCGCAGACCAGGGATCAGACAGCGACGATATGTGTCTCTCTCATGACGATTCGTCGTACGATCGCCAAATGCCAAAGATATCACCTACCTATTCGGATCCGTGGATTCCACTGCAAAAGACGCGATATAGCTATGGTTTCCCTGCCAATGGCATAATACACCATAATGACAACAATCGAGGCTTTGAATCAGAGTTGGGGTACGGAGCCAAATGCTCCACTTTCAGCAAAAAATCCAGTTTCCATAGGGAAAGAAACAAAAGTATAAGGCGAAAGTCCTCATGTCAACACAGATACCATGGGCGTCGTAGTTTCCCTAAAGAACATTCGTCGCCTTCTATTTCGACATCGGTGCTGTTCGACCTCAATCAGAAAGAGAAGCAAATCTCCCCGCAGATGATGAAGAATCAAAAAGAGTGGATCAAAGCTGCTCGTGTGTTAGACAGGCTATTCTTGATCGTATCAGTTTTAGTTGGTGTTACGACATTAGTGGGAATATTCATTAGAGCACCGAGGTTTCGCTGAGAAAAGCTGCAGTGCTATCTTTGCTTTTTCAAAGATGATACACTTTTCCTTGGTTTAAACCTAGATTTTGCTTAGTCAGGGCCGGAATTTTCTACAGCTATGCACAAGAGAACATAAAAGGTCTCTTGGTATGCATGATTTCCCAGATCGCCGATTCCATGCGTGCTGCGCGAGTGACTTGATTAAATTCACTTCGCGCTATTTATTAGCAGTGGTGCGGTAGACTGTTTGTAACGTAATTGTTATGTGCGATGAGTAAAACCTGTAACATAAATTTGAAACAAAAAAATTGGAATATATAATCCTCGATAAGTTTTGCATGTCATGTTGACCTTTTAGCAAAGGTATGACACCTTGTCTCTCGTGGAAATTACCTTTTTCAAGGACAGTTCTTCTTCAGGAGTTAAGATGTTCTCAGAGAGAAAATTTCCAAAATTACATTGTAATTAGTTTGATTCACTCCTAGTTTGTTGTGAGAAACAGGTTATAATTCATTTCTGATGATAAAAAAACAAAATCAAAGAGCACAACACAGCATTGGTAATGAAGCATGGGACCTTGCCAGATTTGCCACGAAACAGGTATTGTCCGGCATATTGTAAAATAAATTTTATCATTCTGTTGTATGTGGTAATTAGACCAATCATTAGCAATAGCGTTGTAGAGACTGAAATGGCGTGGGGCGAGGAGAGATGCCGTCAGCTAAATTTTCATATCAATTAAGCAGTTCTTTGTCAACATTGAAACGAGATTTTCTGGTAAGGTGCAATTATTCTTTCAAGACAGCGTTCCTTTTCTCCTGTCAACAAAAGAGTTAATTTGTATTACCGTAAATTCTTTTACGCCTTGATTTAAACAAGGCAAATTTTTCAGTCATTTCTCAGCTGATTTCTTAGTCCTCTTGCTGCGCATGTGACTAGTTTAGTGAAGCTGATTCTACAATTTTCTTACAGAAAGTTAAAGGTTGACAGAGTCTCATGGCATCTTAATAGAGACCTTCGGATTCCAAGACGTAGGACGAGATTTTCCTAATACATGCACAGTACTTGCGGCCGTAAACCTGCGTCATTTCCAACCTCGTTCCCAGGGTTACCTCCTACTCAAGGGGGCGTCATTAGAAGTTAAGAGAGTCCTGCAGGGAACAGGGGTGTGTCATTTCGCCAAGAAAAAATGCGATAGCTGTCGTCATTCTTCTGCGAGTTTTAGCGAGAATGTCTTAGTGGCGAAAACCAGTTTCTCATTTTGCGACTCTGGAGAGGGCTCAACCTCTTTTTGTATGTGTGAAAAAACTAAGAAAGAAATAAAGCTTTCCCGGTATGTATTTTCTTAAAATACGCGAAAAGAAACTTTAAGTCAAATCTCGTTGTTCTTTTTTTCGAATCTAAAGGTCTCTCCCGGACTCTAACAATGAGCAGCGAGCATGTAATTATAAGTACGTAAACCAGATTGAGTTCCGCCTTTATTAGTTCCGGGAGTCGGCAGTTCAGTTTACCAGCGGACCATCTTTGTTTGTTATGCGTGTTAGTATTGGCGGGAAATTAAACAAGATGGCGGAGCCTATGGCGGAGTGTTAGCGGACTACTTCAGCTGCCCTTCAGCTGTGAAAAGCAAAAAACTCCGGCCTGTGTTTATCCGTGTGGTTCATGCACTTTGACTGGCGATTTCGTTGAGAAAACTATTTAAGTCTCACTTGTTTTTACAAGGCAAAAAGGGAAGCGAGGAATAGAGTTTAAAAATGGTTGTTTCTTCTGAACAAAAGCGGAATCTTCCATGGTAAGTTGGGTGGTGTGCGACAGTACAAGCAGACCGCCGACCTGCAGACTGGCAGGTAAACACGGTTAGCATCTAGTGTTTTGAAATTAGCTGACAACTTCACCTATCCATAAACGTTAAGTCGTTTAAAAGTCTTGGGACAGTTCTCGGAGGATTTCACAACATTGTTTACCGTGTTTATCTTTTCTGTCTTCAAGTCAGTAGTCTTCATTGTTCGCACACCTTTGACTTTACAAAGTTATTCTTGAATCTATCTCGAGTTTCTCATTAGACACGAGATGGTAACATTGATGTCATTTTCACTATAACCATTAATAGCAACATCTCTTCAAAATGGTCTTGCAAGTTTTGCACGTGCAAAATAATATACAATTTTAATACACTCTGTATCATGGATGTCGCTAAGATTTCAAGTTGCCAGGTAAATACAACAAGTAGGCAGGGGATGAAACAGCTAGGAATTTCTTTTGGTTCTATTTTTCTTCTATTTTCCTACGAAAGTATCAGGTCACGTAGGGCCTGATGACAGCCCTGTGTATCAAGCTTTACCTCTTGTATCTAGATAAAGATAAGGTAATAAAGGTGCACCAAAATTCACCTTAGAATGAACACATATTACAGAGCAGGTAAGAAACATTTTTAGTTTCATATTTCAAAAACCTCTACTATAGTGGCTGAGTCGGCAACAATTTAATTTTTGGTTTTGCTCAGTGAGGTCTCTAACAACTCAATAATGAATTACTGAATACAGTGGAACCTTGATTTTATTGGCCTGTATATAATGACATCCTGGGTATAACGAATAATATATGGAAAAGTACCTCAACATAAGCTTGTTATAGCAAACATATTTTGTCAGTTCCTTGGCCCTTAATATTGTAACAAGGTTCTACTTGTAGATGCAGTAATAAAAGGCTATCAAATATATGAATGTTTGTAAATGAATAATAATAATGATGATAAGAGGATTTCTCCAGTTAAGCTTAACTAAGCTCCCAGGAATCTCCTTCTGTCCTAGATTTAATACAATGGAAAGTTATTATGTGTTATTTTCTCAACAGGGTTGAAAAATACAGACCCAGTAGTTTGGAGGATCTTATTTCCCACAAGGATATCATTACAACAAGTAAGTTACTTTTCCCAGGGCCAACCCATACACGACTGGTAGCCAGCAAAGAGCCCCATATCAAGTATTGATAGCTGGCAATTCTTACGATACTTGATGCTGAAATCATAACTTCATATACAGTACAGTAGATGCTCAAGTTGGCATCCCACTTCAAATAACTGCTCTCCTTTGATTTGGTGTGTTCTGAATGCACAATATAAAAGTAGAAAGTTTGAAGTATGTTAATACCAGAACTTAGAGGACCTTTAATTTGTGTTTCTTTTTTTACAGAAACATTCTAGTTCACTGATATATTTTAAAAGATCTTTCACATGATTATGATTTTACAATTACAGTATTTTAGAGGATCCTAGCTTTATATTGTAAGCAAATTAAATGTACATCTAGGTCTAGAAGTAACACATTACTAGCATCTTATTTTGGACATTGTTTGTTGCTGTAAGCAAATTTACACGAGTGCACTGTATTTGACTTAAGTTAACATGGCATATTCGTTTGCAGTTAAGCGATTCATTGAGGAGGATCGTTTGCCTCATTTGTTGTTCTACGGTCCACCTGGTACTGGAAAAACATCCACCATCCTTGCTGTTGCTAAACAGATTTATTCTGCTAGAGAGTTTAACTCCATGGTTCTTGAGGTAAGGACATATCTGGGAAAGAGCAAGCAGCCTGATGGATACAGAATGATTATTGTGGTTGTGCAACATTTGTACATAATATAGCAGAACAACATTCAAAAACGTATCACCAGGATGTGACATTAAACAAGTACCATGCTTGATAGGTCTTGTCAGTAATCATTACCTGTATTAAAATAATTGATAATGTGGGCTTGTTTGCACTCCTCGAGAAAAAATAATTACATTTTCTTTTCATTTGTTTTGTTAATAAACGCAGTTGAAGAGAACTCTCTAAGTGCTAAGTTTCTGTTGTGGTTTAATATTTTATCCTTGGTTCAAATTTTATTTGCCTTTCTTTTGGGGTATGGTAATGTATGATAATGAATTGTAAACAAAGGAAAATAAAATTTAAACCAAGGATAAAATTGCACCACAACATATCCACAAAATGGCTGTTTCATTCCTCACTGACAGTTAACTTGCTATAATTCAAAATTTTAATTTCTGTTTTTGGGTTACTTCTCTTTCAAAATTTGGTGTGCTAACCACATGTACATACACATACAGTACATGTATACTGGTATTCTGTAAAATGTTCTGTACATTCTGTTGCAGCTGAATGCATCAGATGATCGTGGTATTGGCATTGTCCGTGGAGCTGTTCTTAGTTTTGCAAGCACAAGAACAATTTTTAAGTAAGTTCCTGGTTGGGATTCTCAATTACACTGTGGTGGGCATTTTGTATCATTGTTTAAATTATGTTGTGGGCTCAAATGGTATGGCTTATCCTTTAACCTTTGTAGATCTGGTTTCAAGCTTGTGATATTAGATGAAGCAGATGCCATGACTCAAGATGCACAGAATGCCCTAAGAAGAGGTACAGCGTATTGTTTCATGTAAATATCAATGTAAAAACGCACAATACAAAGTCAACCAAACAGTGTCTTAATACATGTAGGTATGGTGTTTGATGCTATACTAACATTATTTTTTGATGTGCTTTGCATTGCAGTAATGGAGAAGTTTACAGAGAACACAAGGTTCTGTTTGATTTGTAACTACCTGACCAAGATAATCCCAGCTCTGCAGTCTCGCTGCACACGATTTAGGTTTGGACCTCTTGACAATGAACAGATGACAACACGACTTGAGCATGTCATCAAAACAGAGGGGTACGTTTGCACCAGGTCTTGAGCTGTCAAGTATTATTTTTTAGTTTTTGACATGCATTTCTATTGTATAGCTTGTAATGGTGACCATTTTGGTCATGCAGTGTAATAATACACTTCCATATGAGCAAGATTCTCTCCTTGGAGACTGAAAATAATAGTAATAATTTAAAAAATCAATGATATTATCAGTTTTTTTTTTTTCAGTGTTCAAGTTCCAGAGGATGGTATGAAAAGCTTAGTCAGACTAGCCAGTGGGGACATGAGAAAAGCACTCAATATTCTCCAGGTAAGCAATTTGCAATGATTGAAACAGAATAATATTTTTCCTTCCATGCAGGGTTTTCAATAAGAGCTGGCAGCTGGCGAAATTCGCTGGCTATTTCACATGAACTCACTGCCTGCTTTTCTTTGGAAATTACCCAGTTTTTTTAATTGACATGATTTAAAACAGATAGTGAAATAACCAATGGTTCATAGCTATTGGCAAGAAGAAATGAATAAAAAATGGAGTATTGGGTGATTCCAGAAAATATCCATACCATACCACGGGCGGCATCTTGGAATTCCGAGGGAGAGGGGGGGTTTCTTGGACTGGAATTCCGAAGACGTGGGGGGGGTAACACAGTTTGGAATTCCAAAGGCATTGGGGGGTGTTTCAGCTCTGAATTCAGTGAATTTCCAGAGGAAAGACGGCGAAAGCTCCGCTTGAAATCGCTGACCTGTTAACATTCCCAGTTTGTAAATGAAGCACGAACCGACCACGGAAGAAGTATGTGTTCATGCAGATGGGATAAGCAGATGGGTTAAGCAGATGGGTTGTGCAGCAAGCTCCACATGGAAGAGGCCTTAAAGTTGAGGAATTAGTCAACTGATTAATAAAAATATAACCAAGTCGGTGTTTCTCGCCGATTGTTGATCGACGATGTGTTGTTGCGTGCTGTGCTGAAAACTCGCACCAGTCTCTCGTTTCCAAATAGAACGCCTGACAGATTTTGTATTTCACGCCGATTTCCACGCCAACATGTAGGTAGTAAAATCCGACAGCGTGCCTTTTGATGCGCTGTTTAATTCAAAACTGTTTAAATTTTCAATATGGCGGGTGACGGAATATCGATCGTAAACTTTACTCTTGTCAGCGTCCACTGGTATCAATACGATCTACTCCTGAAAATATGACGGTATTGAATGGAAAACAAAAAGTTCTATTAGGTGGTAAGCAGCTTAAAGATAATGCTTAGAAGGAATAGCTACGGTGTACTAACGTTAACAAACTTGAGTTGCTTGATCGTCTGACTAAAAATTGTGAACAGAATTCTTTTGCAGAGGGAAAAAGTGCAAGTTTCTCGTTCGTTTGAAGATTTAGGCAGACGAACAGGAATTCCAAAGGGTCTGAAACAAAAGTGGAAAATTCCGGAGGAGAGGGGAGGTTAGCGATTTTGGAATTCGGAGGGCAAGGGGGGGGATAAGCATTTTGGAATTTCCGAGGGCAAGGGGGGGTTAAAATACTCATGCCACCCGTGGTAGGGTATGGATATTTTCTGGAATCACCCATTCTTGTGCTGTCACTGAATAAAAAAGCCAAAATTTAATGATGTCTGTGTTCTGTTCAAACTCTCTAATTTTCGCTCCAGAGTGCTGGAAATGCATTGTAAAAGGTCCAGATTTCACAATTTTTCCAGGGGGTGGCAGCAGCATGCATGGTGAGACTTAAGAGTTTTGAGACCACAATTCTACATGTATAACAGATCTAGTCAGGCTAAAATTACCACGTATACTAAAAATCATTGATTATGAAATGGCTGTCTTCCACTACAACACCACTGGGTTGAAATTCTTGTCTTGGTGTCATTTGATGTCTTGCAAACTTTTTTCTTCTCTGTTCCTAATTCTATGCACCGTGGCTTCTTTTGTTTTCAGAGCACAGCCATGGCATTTGACATTGTAAATGAAGTGAATGTTTACACATGTACAGGACAACCTCTAAGATCAGATATTGCAAATATAGTTGAGTGGATGCTTAATGAGGACTTCAATACTGCATACACTAGTATCCTTTTCAAGCAAGCTAGGAGGCTCCTGTATGTGACCACTTCTGATAAGCAACCACCTATACGGGAACACCAAAATTTTCCCAGTTGGAACCTCTCATAAACAACCACCTCCTGTAAATATCCATGGCCACGTTTTAGGGCTGGCAGTTTCACTTATGTCCAGGATCGATCTTGTTGGCAAAAATTTGCTAGCAAATTGTATTTTTGCGATATTTGTTAGTGGTCCCAGTTAAACCTCTCCTAAACAGCAACCTTGGGGACAGAAGAAAGTGGCCATTGTAGAAAGGTGGCCATTGTAGAGAGGTTTAAACAAGAGTCAATGTATGGACTGTCTGCCAAAAAGTGGAGAGAGGTGGCCGTTAGTGGAGGTTCAACCTTATAAATAAAATAATGTTCATTATACTGACTTACTTAATATACGGTATGAGACTGAACATTAAATCTTTTCCCAAGACATGCTCCTTGAAATAATGTCATTCAATAATTGTAGCCTTAACCTGTTAACAGACATTATGAAGCTTAAAACTTTAAAAGGACTAGCTCTCCAGGACATTCTCACTGAGGTTCATCTGTATGTTCATAGAGGTTAGTTTGTACAACAGTACCAAAGCTGTTTAACATACAACATCATGTAAAACCGCACCTTTTGGCTTGAATTTTAGGCTGAAGACTGTGGGTGTGGATTTTTGGCTTTATGTTAAACACATGAATTCTAGCTCTCTTCAGTGCCCAAAATAATTTCCGGGTGATGGCCAGACATGGTGACTGGCCGTAGAAATTTTTGCTCGGTCAAGTCTCTTTCTGACTGACCAAAAATGGGAAAAAAAGCCAACTAATCCATGTGTCAGCTAATCCATTTTCTGTATAATTTTTTTTTTTATGAACGTGATTTTATTTTTCCAAAATTACAAAAGTATCTAAGATTTACAGGTGAGGATTTGGCTAACTTTTTAAGAATTAGAGTGTGTATGACTGGTCAACTTGACCGGTGAGTGAAGTTTGTGGCTGGTCAAACCGCCTTCCTGGCCAGAAAATTAATTGTCTGTTGACCAGCCATTATTTTGAGCCCTGCTCTTACAAATTAATCTGTTCTCCCTTACAGTTAACTTTCCTCAGAAGATCAGAATTCAGTTATTGGAGAAGCTTGCAGATGTTGAGTAAGTAAAGGCAAATCCATGTTACACCTGTATGTACTAAACATAATAGGCCATTTTATTTATGCTTGAAACTCTCACTTTCAAGATGAGGCCTGCTCCCAGTTTTTCTACAGGTGGATAGCCCTATCCACTGGATAAATCTCTATCAGCTAGATAGCGCAATTGGTTTTCCTGACATTATTTTATGCACTGGATAGTAAGTGATTTATCCGGTGGATAGCGCTATCCAGGTTTTGAACAACTGGGACTAGGAGCTAAACCTTGTTTAATGCTCTGAGGGCGAAGGGAAGGAAAGTGGGCTCCCTACACTCAGACACACACACACATCAAATTTGCAAAGTCGATGAATTAAAATAATACAAAATAAAGGGTTGTGAATGGTGTAGTTGTTAGGTACATGTATGACATGTATTGAAGTATGATGTGGGTAAGAAAAGTACAATCCAACGTTCTTCTCTGTGCATGTACAATGTATGTTGCTGGTATATACATGTACACGTATGATTATGTTGTGGTTCAGTTTTGTCTTGGTGTAGATGTTATTTTCTTTTGTTTCAAACTCGTTATCATACATTACCATACCCCAAAACAATGGGAAATAAAAGTAAGCCAAGGATGAAATTAAACTACAACATGCACATGATGTGTCACTTGCAACTCATTTTTCAAGCTTTGAGAATTGAGAATTGAGTTCAAAATGACCTTTTTTATGCTAAAGAGAGTCGTCTAGAGGCATTTAACGTCTGAGACGTTAAAGTTGTCTGATGTAGAAACGGGATGTATAAAAGTAAACGAAAACATTGAAAAAAAAAAGTTTTCTGAAAAAAGACAAAACACTGACTCTCCCAGTCGATTCTCGACAGGTTGGGGCATAAATGTGTCCCGCAGTTTAGGACTTCCCGTTTTTATACTAGAGGAATTTAACTGAGATGATAAGGTCGTCTGTTACGTGCGTTTGAATGACGCACTTAACAGAAGACGTTAATGTCATCAGACGTTAAATGCGACTGTCTTATTTGCCGTTTTGCGCGAGACGTTAGAGAAAGACGACTGTAACGTCTTATACGACTTGAACGTCTCTAACATAAAAATGGCCAATGTCTAGTTACAGTTGGTAGCCCTGAAATGTCATGTAAAACGTAAACCAACAAGAAATCGGCTTTTCACTGTTTTCAGATACCGCCTGGCAGCGGGAACGTCAGAAAAAATCCAGCTGAGTTCTATGATAGCAGCTTTCCAAGTCGCGAGAGATATGGTTACTCCTGATTCCTAAGAATCAGTGTTAAACTGTGAAGTAAAATTAATTCTAACCACGTGTATTTGCATGCAGGGGGTTTTCCTTTTCGCCTTAAGGAGGCCTTCTAACAAGCTTGTCACAAAGCAATACTTTTTAATTGTGTGTTGCGTCTCAGTGACCACAACCACAATACCACCCCCCACCCCCCAAAAAAATGACTTTGACCTCTTAAGTAAGAGTAGGCTTTCGCACCTTTACTTGGAAATGCTTAGAAGTCAGATTATTGAGAGTGCTACCTCAGTGATGTGTAATAACGCCACGAGCAAAAAAATGTTTACTATTGTAATAAACGGTTTACGAGTATTACTCGTTTTCGTATTTGTTAAGTTTCTCGCGCTGGACCTCTTGCATTTTTGCGTGATATCNGTCATGTAAAACGTAAACCAACAAGAAATCGGCTTTTCACTGTTTTCAGATACCGCCTGGCAGCGGGAACGTCAGAAAAAATCCAGCTGAGTTCTATGATAGCAGCTTTCCAAGTCGCGAGAGATATGGTTACTCCTGATTCCTAAGAATCAGTGTTAAACTGTGAAGTAAAATTAATTCTAACCACGTGTATTTGCATGCAGGGGGTTTTCCTTTTCGCCTTAAGGAGGCCTTCTAACAAGCTTGTCACAAAGCAATACTTTTTAATTGTGTGTTGCGTCTCAGTGACCACAACCACAATACCACCCCCCACCCCCCAAAAAAATGACTTTGACCTCTTAAGTAAGAGTAGGCTTTCGCACCTTTACTTGGAAATGCTTAGAAGTCAGATTATTGAGAGTGCTACCTCAGTGATGTGTAATAACGCCACGAGCAAAAAAATGTTTACTATTGTAATAAACGGTTTACGAGTATTACTCGTTTTCGTATTTGTTAAGTTTCTCGCGCTGGACCTCTTGCATTTTTGCGTGATATCTGGTAGGCCGGTTGTTACACACAACAGAGGGCTGCTTTTTTGTGTTGGTAACAACCTTATGACTTCCTTAAATGATTCAACATGACCCAAGCCCGCTTATAAGCGGTATCTCTTGTTGGGACCCTTTGCTGGATTTCGCTTTGACGTGCGCGAGAAGTTACGGCAATGTCATTTTGAGGCTTGGCCCTTCGCTCAAAACTCCCGTACCTACACCTCTCGGTCTCTACAAGTGTATTACAAAACATGCGTTATTGGGGCACTCTGCTTCACAGCCGTTCTTTGTGTCGTCACGCAACGCTCCTCCCATTGGTTGGGCGATACACGCGAGACACACTTCGCGCTCCTGCCTTAAACCTACCTACCAACCTTCAGCAGGAAGGCGCACTGAAAGTGTAAAGTGAAATAAGACGGTTTTCATTTAAGATTCGTAGATACTTGTACACTGTAACTTTCTTGGCCTTATTTGCAATAATTTATCATCATTTTGTTCTAGCAGTGTCGGTTTTCTGTAAGGAGCAAGGTGTTTAGCGATAAAAATAAACTAGTCAACCATAGCTTTTTAGGTGGTATTGCTCATGTGCTAACACTGGGTTGATCGGGTCCTAATCTGTTAAATTTACGTAGTCAAGGCCGAAATGCACTGTTAAATTTCACTTGGAGCATTCATGTATGAGCGAACGCAAATATACACAAAATGGCGAGGGAAGCGGAAAAAGCTCTACTCTTTTTCTCATTGATTAAATTGTAAATGCGGGGAGTAAGTAATAAGGGAGTAGCTACACTATCTTCGCCCGTAATTCCGTTGATGCAATACGCTCGCCCTCAAATGAGCGCTTGAGAACGAATGT